AGGAGGATTATAAGCTCAAGACCAGCCTGTACAACTTAGCCATTTAGTAAGACCTTGTATCAGAAAAAGAAAAAAATAGGCTGGGGATGTAGTTCAGTGCAAAGACCCGGTTCAGTACCACTAACGATGTTAATAGTGATTGTCTATGGCCAGTGGTGTTACAGACAGCTAAGTGAGGTAGAAATATTACAGGCAGTCAGACAGGGCTGGGCCCTTGAGGGAGTGCAGGGGATGAGAACACATCACAACTGTGGCTGGAGGTGCATCTGTTGGAGGCCAGGTCTCAAGATAAAGACGGAATGAGCAGGCCTACATGCCTCCTCATGGGATAACCAATAAATTGAAGATTATACTATAATTAGTAAATTGGTATCACCTGTACCAATAAAGTCTAGAAAGACATCAGTCACCCTGGTGGGTGACCAGGACCTCCTGATCCATCCCTTCCTAAAAAGGTTTTGTTTTTTCCGTATACACTTGCTACGTGACCTGCTTCCCCATTGGCTCAATATTACCTAAGTGGCTAAACTTGTAATCTTTTTTTTTTTTTTTTCTTTTGGTACCGGGGATTGAACTCAGGCCCTTGTGGTTGCGCAGCAGGTGGCAAAACCCCTGAGCTAAATCCCCGGCCCCAAACTTGTAATCTTATTGATCACAGTTTTGACCTACATTGTACCCACTTAGTGATTTTGTACCCACCTCATGATTTTGCTCTATAAAACTTTGAGAAGTGGGCTCATTGGCAACCCACTTTTGGGTCCCGTCTTGTCTCTCAGAAGCTATCTCTCTCAATAAATTTTTCCTACTCTTAACCTCCACTGTTCCTTAGAATTTATTCTTCAATTTTGGAGAACATGAACTCAGTGTATCTGACATCTAGCAGTTTGGGAGTTACATTAGTACCCTATATCAGTAGTATTAAGGGTGATTCTTTTTCTTTCTTTTTTTTTTTTGGTGATACTGGAGATTGAATCCAGGCCTTTTGCACAGAGCTACATTCCCAGCTTTTTTATTTTTTATCTTGAGATAGGATCTCACTAAGACCCTAAGTTGCCCAGTTTGGGCTAGAACTTGTGATCCTCCTGCCTCAGCCTCCCAGAGTATGGGATTACAGACATATGCCACCGCAACCAGCTATAAAGGTGATATTTTAGTATTGTCTGTATGTCCTGAAGTTTTTGCAATCAATATTGATTTGTTCTATAATACATAAAGAACAAACATGGCTGGCTCCTGAGAATATTCTAAGAATTTCCCAGAAAGTATGAAGATAACTCCAAATGAAGATTAAAATGTTTGTATCAGTGATGATATTTTTAGATAAATATAATCAATGATAAGAGTTTTAGGCATAAATAAATTGAGAGGATAATTAAATCTATACTCAAAATGACTCTTTCGACAGGGACTTATCTGGATGAATAAATTTGGAAGCAATCATATTTATGACCAACAATAGAAACTACAATCATTTCAACTGATTCATTGTAAGGGGGATTATAAAGCTAATATTTTAAAAGTTCAGACTTGATAAACAATAATTCTTCTTGTTTATAACTATCTTTCTACTATGAAAAAAACAAACCTATTTCATAAGAACCTTCCAAGTCAATACTTCAGAGTGACTGGTATTTTCTAGTTCTTCCTCATTCATGGAAACAGACTACAATCTAAAAAGATAAGCGAAAAAAAAAAAGGCTGTTTTCAAGATTAACATTATCTTTGTCTCACAGAAAACCAGGTTCTATTTTATCTTTGGAGGGCAGAATTCACTATAAATCTAGGCCAACAAAGCAAAGAAAATATATTTCATCTGAGATTGTTTCATTTTCCATTCTTTGAAACTAGCTATCAACTTTTGCAAAATTTATGTAGAAAAATAATAAACTTGAGATAAACAGGAAAGAAAGCTCAGGGCCAAGGAGTGAGATAACTGTTCATCCCAGCATGTTTTGAGTCATGCAGTTGGGCTTACTGGTTTCACGGACTTGGAACTCAGATGATATGTAATTTACCAGGCTCCAAAATTATTTTGAATTTCCTCATCCAGACAGAAATTGATTGTTGCTTGTCTAAAACTTCAAAATACACCTTCTTTTCCAAGAGATGGGAGGAAGTGAGGAGAAAGGGGAGGTGAAGGGGAAATAAAAAGAATTAAGGTGTGTTGTGTACATGTACCAACTCCCTACCATGAATGTAATCATTATGTACTGCAAACATGGACTAATAAGGGCCAGGGATTTAGCTCAGAGGCACCGCACCTGACTTGCAAGCCCAAGGTCCTGAGTTAGATCCCCGGTACCAAAAACAAAAACAAACAAACAAATAAAAAAAGATGGACTAATAAAAATTTTAAAATATATATCTTTTTTCCCACTTCAATCAGCATCCTAAGATTCACTCAATCTTTTCTGAGTTAAGGGAGTATAGGAAGAAAAAAATTGTAAGGGAACATTTACTTCAAGCCTTGCTTTTCAAATATGTTTGTATTTTCAAGCAACTAAAAATAACGTACATGGTTTAACAGGAAGAGCTACTCCTTTAAAGTAAAATGTATCTAGACCCAGGTTTCATTTCCTAATAGAACAGCACAGGCACCGAGAACTCTCAACTCTGATCAAAACTGCCTTCCACCTCCCCTCAGCTATTCATGTGCTTTGCTTCTTTCAGGAAAAGGAAATTGCAAAGTTTTTTTGAAAAAAAAAATCACATGCAAGACTCAATTCAGCAGATGATAATCTGGATTCATGATGAGAAATCTTTGCAAAAAACAAGAAAAATAAATATGTGGACTATGCACAGCAACTTTAATGGAGCTCCCAAACCGTGACTCCAGAAACAGGCTCAAAGTCAGTGTTTGCCAAGTGACGTAAGCCATGGCCAGACAATTCGGGAACTCGCCAGAGTCTCCCATCACTCTGTCACTTTCTGTTACTTACTCACCCTTCTAACTTGTGTCATAACAGCGCACATGGACCGGCCCCTCCAATAGCAAAGGCGATGCATTCCAGCCAGAACAAGGAAAAACACACTGCAATTGCACAAGCTCAAGTTTGTGGAGTTGGGAAAAAGTAAAACACGCACCTTTATTATTTTCTTATATCCTGTTCAAAGGAATGAACAGACATAAAACTATCTACTGGGTATCCCTCCCAAGTAGGGCACTGAACTTGCACTTGCAAATCTACCTCTAGCTTCCAGAGGGCTCCTCACCCCTCTGGAACCAAACAAATAAGTTCCTAGGCGGGAGTCAGAGTGGGCTTTGAATAAAGCACACTGCATTGCTTCAAAGAGTCAGAACGAAATTCACTCAAAACACAACTACGCCATCCACACTGCAGACAGCTGTAGCACAAAAGTACAAACATTCAAAGTTATAGGCTTCCAGCATTTTGAAACTCTATGATCCTTGCTCTAAATTCTTGCTTCTCCAAGTTTTAGTGGAAAATGAGCGCAAGTTTAAAAAGCATCACATTAAGAAACTGGCACTGTTGCCAGGGATTTAGCTCAGTGGTGCCGTCGCCTGTCTCACGAGCACAAGGTCCCGAGTTCAATCCCTGGCACCAAAAAAAAAAAAAGAAAACAAACTGGCACTGTTGAAGAGCTGCAGGGGCAGAGGGCTCGGTAAGGAGGGAAAGATAGGCCTCAATGAGTTCTATTACGATCAATAAGGAAACATTAAAAGCAGTTTCTGCCTTCACAGGTAGACTCTGCAGTTAGAGTAATTAGAAAGACAGGAGGGACAAGCCAGCCAGACTTCGGAGAGGCCCAGGCCACACAATTACCAGGAAAGCCAGCTGCCCTCACTCACCTGACGAATGCAAGGGCGAGAAGAGACAGCCACCCGAGGACTCTTATTTAATATGTAAGACATGCATACACACACACGCACACACACACACCTAGGCATATACACACACATGTTCTCACTTAAATATCAGTATAACACTGCACCAGATACACACATGTACATGTCCCCTTTACTTAATCTTTAAAGCTGCCTTCCTAATAGGTCCCCCCTTCACTTTTTCATTACAAAGAAACAGGAAGAAACCAAATGGCCAGAAGGCCTAGGTTAAGATCAAAGACAGTCTAGGGAACACATCAGATAGCGACACCCGCCCACCTGGGTGTTGGGAAAGACACCAGTGGGCAACAGAAGGAGCCAGGGCTAAGAGCTCTTGGGCTTTCAGCTCTGAAGGCCCCTACCACCTTACGGTAGCTGTCCATCCTCTTTCTTGTCCATCTTTTTGCCCAAATAAACCGTCCTTTGTCATACTATACTTTGCCTTATATTTTTAGTTCTTTACTGGTTTAGGATCGCTGTGAGCTGCGTTTTCAGCAGAACAGTGACACGGTGTGACATGGTATGGGGAATACATAAGAGAGCCATGGCAAAATTAGGAAAAGCTCAGCAAAAGTTAAAAAATAGCTTTAAAATTCTAAAATATACCATTACATGTAGATCATTTTTCTCCTTGAACATAACTATATCAAGTTTCATGTTGTATAAACTAACTGTAAAACTCCACTCTTAAGCACTATTGGAGAAAATCAACTGATGGAAACTCTTTCAGTTCCTCTATTTAAAAGTCTTTGGCACTGTTCTGTCATATTAGAGTCAACTTTAAACTTTCTGAAACAGGCATTCTGCGGCAGAGATGTCTTCTGCATTATGCATCTCGTTCCTTGCAGTAATTTGAAATGTATCATACAAATATCAAAGTTCATTTCTTAGCTTTGGAGAAGTTCCAGTCTGGCCTGGAAAGGACCCAGGTGGGGAACACATCTACATATAGTTACAAATTAAACACTTAAGTCATAAAAATCTACAGACATGAACCAGCCTCATGGGGTCCTAAATTGATTTATCATAAATGTGTAGTAAATTATCTACTTTTCACCTCCATTTTGTTTCTGGGCTCCGCATTATTTTAAGGCATCATTCATCTATGACTTCCTTCTCTTCCAGTGCTAGGTGCAACTGGGAGGCTATTTACCTTTTAGTAGTAGATTTTCATCTACAGTATGCTGTGCAGAATTCGCTTGCAAATAAGATTCGGATTTTTTTGAGAGTCCTTGGCTCTGACTGCTAATCTGGAACCATAGATTGCTTCGGTGGATGGATACGATCCGAGAGGGTCAGCAAACACCTCATATTCATATGTGATTCATTCGTGGCTCACTGTTCTTTACCCGTTTTTCTCATGTAAACCTTCCACCCACCCTCCAGCGCTGTGCTCAAGGACTCTGAGCTTCCAGAGACCTCATAAAGTCGCTCAGCTGGAAACCAGACACAACAAGGAGAGCCTGAGCCTGTGCTTCCAGACTGTGCCACAGCTGCGGGGCAGTTTTTTTCTCCTCTTTGTGATCTACCGCTCAAGTTCTTTTAAGGGTAAGGGGGGCGGGGGAGCAACTAATTGATTCTGCACATTAAAAAATGAATTTACAGGGCCAGGAATTTAGCTCAGGGCTTTCGCCGCCTGCTGAGCAAGCGCAAGGACGCGAGTTTGATCCCTGGTACCAAAAATTTAAAAAAAAAAATGGATTTATGGGGCCGGGGAATTAGCTCAGTGGTTCCGGCGCCTGCCTCACAAGGACAAGGTCCAGAGTACAATCCCTGGTACCAAAAAAAAAGGATTTATGTGAGTAAAAATGATTGTGATTCCTCAAGAATTCCCTCGGAGATGCTTAAATTATGAAGGGAAAAAATCTTTATTATCTTTCAAAATATGTGGCATTTAAAATAACATTCAAGGCCAGGAGTGGTGGTGCTTGCCTGTAATCCCAGAACTCAAGAGGCTGAGGCAGGAGAATTGCCGCAAGTTCAGGCCAGCCTGGGCTACATAGTGAGTTTAAGGCCTTAACTGCATAGCAAGACCCTGTCTTAAAAACCCAAAAAAAGGGACTGGGGATTTAGCTCAGTGGTTCCACCGACTGCCTCGAAAGTGCAAGGTCTCAAGTTCAATCCCTGGTAACAACAACCCCCCCCAAAAAAAATAGATAAAATAATATTCAGGAATAAAAGAGTACTCTTTCAATTTATGGATGATTTTTCTTTTTCACATAGCATTATAGTCCTCTTTCTCAGTATGTACTGGTAACATATTAGTAACATGGGAAGAAAATGAATTTCAGGAAGGCAAGCTATACGGGCATCATACCAAGCTCAAAGAATGTGTGAGGTAATAGTGACTACAGCCCCAGACACGTTCACTCTGGCCCCTCTGAGAGGTAAGCTCTTGATTACATGTCACATCTATGCCTCAGGAAGTGAGTCAGACCAGCTTTCACTCGGCCACCTTCTCTAACCTAGGCCTAGGGCACAGGCCTCAGTGAGCCCAGGGCTCCCTTGGTTTCCCTCTGGTAACCACCTCTCAATGTCCACAGACAGGAAGGCCAACCTGTTCACAATCAAACTATCAGCTCCCCTCAAACTCAGCTATTTTCTCTCCTCTCATCGCAATGACTAGATCCGACAGGCACTCAATTTTCCAAGCTAAAAGTCTGCACATCTTTGAATCCTCCTCCTCCTCCTCCCTGTTTTGCCACATCCAATCGACCATCAAGTTTTGAAATTGGGCATGGCAGTGTGCGCCTGTAATCCCAGCACTTGGGAGGCTGAGGCAAGAGGATCACTGTGAGTTCAAGGCCAGCCCTGGCTGGCGTGAGTCTCAGCTCAAAAAACCAAAACCAAAACAAACCCAAGTTTTGAAATAAAAAATACTTTTGGAGAGCCCCAAGACTGCATAGTACCGTAAGGCCCCTCCACAGCCTCCTATAGGATGCCAACTAAAACTCAGTAACAACTCACAGTTCTTGGGTACTTTGTGCCAGCCAATGTCTAAGCTTTGGGTGTGAGTGAATTTAACCTGTACAACTATTCAAGGTTGGTGGGAGTCTTATCCTTGTTCTACAGATGAGGCAGCGGCTAAAGGGAACTTTTGTACAGTGGACCCTCAAGTTACGACCAGCCTGACATACGAACAACTTGGGTTAATTAGGTTAATGGAAGATTCATCTGGCTTATCTATAGCACGTAACCAGGTAAACATCCAGATCTCAGCTGTATTGACTTTACACCAACCTGAGTTACAACCAGCCCTCAGGAACCGATCAAGTTCATAAGTCAAGGGTCCACTGTATTTCTTTAAAATAACACGAGGTAGTTCAAGGATTTAACATTGTACTGAACTCTCACTTCTGTGTCCTTGCAGTTTTTCTTCTCTGCCCGGAAGGCCTTTCAAACTTGTTTGCCTAGATTCAAACGTCACCTAAGCCCCTTCTTCTCTAGAAAGTATTCTAGCGCCCTCTGCTGGTGTCCTTCCCTCTAAATTCTCAAAGGACGAAGCCTATACCCCGCCCTTGGAGATTCTAATGTCCTCGGTCTGGATCCAGACGGGGCACTGAAACTTCTAAACGCCTCCCAGGTGACTCTAACGTGCAGTCAAGGTTGAGATCCACCGCCCTGTAACGTACTTTCTACATCTGAGCGGATAGTAACTGCACATGAACTTCTGAAACGAACCTTTCACAATCACCTTTCACAATCAGCTGGGATTCCTGGGTCCTCCCTAAAACTAAATCAGAACCACGGGCAGGGCCCTGGAATGGATTTGTGTCCTTGGTTAATTCCGATGTGTGGCCAGATCTGGGCGCTCTCTCCTAGGCAAGAACTGGTTCGTTTCCTTGTACCCAACCAGGGCCCAACATGGTGCCCGGCGCATAACTGGACAGTGATAAAATAAATGTGTGAAGTGAATGCACTCTAGGAAAGTGCATCTGGTGACCAGGTGTTATATATTCAATATTCTACTTCCTGCAACAGCTTGAGGAAAAGCGCTTCCCACAATAGAATGCAAATACTGGGAAGCTTTTCAAGTATGTTTTTTAATCCACTACTGCCCCCTACTGACCTAAAGATGAACAGCTAAATCAAAACATGGTTAGTTTAAAATTAAATATGCACATAACTAGTTACACACTGTACTTTTCAGCAATACTTATACTGTCAGCTTCTTTGCCCTCCAGCCCTCCTTGCTCAAAGCTATTAACTCCCAAAGTCAGATCAGCCCTCCCATTTGCTCTGCCACACCTCAAAGACCTGCAGAGCGATGCTCCCAGCAGTGCACTTTCAAGCCTCTCTGCCTTTTTTGTTCTCTGGTCAGCGCCTCTACAGGGTCCCCACCCATCCCAAAACACAAGAAACGATCCACTACCGAAGTGCCTCAAATCTTGGTTATTCAAAGTGTGTTGGGGGCCAGCACACGTCTCTAGCACCCAGAAGGTTACTAACAACTGGATCATCTGTGGCCCCATTCCAGAGCTACTGAATTCAAATCAGGATTTCTTTTACATAATACTGGGGATTGATGGTATACATTTTTATTTGTTTGACATAGGGTCTTGCTATGTAATTCAGGCCGATCTTGAACTCACTATGTAGCCCAGGATGGCCTCGAATTCCCAGCGATCCTCCTGCCTCAGCCTCCTGAGTGCTGGGATAACAGGCGTGCGCCATCATGCCTGGCAATACTGGGGATTGAACCCAGAGCCTCTGCACTGAGCTATATCCCCAGCCGTTTTTTATTCTGCGACGGGATCTTGCTAAATCGCTATGTTGCCCAAGCTGGGTTCAAACTTGTAATCCTCCGGTTTTGGCCTCCCAGAATGCTGGGATTACACAAGCGTGCACCACCACCCCTGGCTCAGAATCTGGATTTCAACAAGAGTCGCACACACTTTAAAACTTGACAAAGAGGTTTTGCTGCCTGCTGTGCAAGCACAAGGACCCGAGTTCGATCCCCAGTACCACAAAAAAAAAAAAAAAAAAAAAAAAAATAAAGGGCCAGGGATTTAGCTCAGTGATTCCAGCACCTGCCTTGAAAGGCAAGGTCCCGAGTTCAATCCCCGGTACCAATCCCCCCCTCCAAAAAAAAAAAATCTAGTGGGCTTTTTTATTGTGAAGTCGTGATGAGCATAAATGGTATTTTGAGAGCACCAACAACTGCAGTGCAATATGAAAAGGTTTGTGACTTGCACTCATACTATGACTTCTGCAGCTGACAATTATTGCCAAGTATTACTATGGTTTGTTGCTGTGGGCATTCATTAAATTAATCACACTCTGATGAACCACACCCTCTTCATAACCATGTCCTTGTGTAGTCCCCTACCTATCAACTCTGGACAAGGCTTGACATCCGAAAATGTGATGCAGGTAGGTGTGTGTACCCTGGGACCTGCCCTCCTGGAAGCCAGTAACCAAGAGAGGAAGCCCAAGCCAGGCACAGAGGGGCACAGAGCTTCCTATGGGGTGAAGCCATCTTCTAGTTAAGCCACCAACTGGATTCAGTCAGCAGTAGAACTGTGCACCCAACCCACAGACTGTGAGAAATAACAAAGCATTATTGTTTTAAGGCACTGGTTTATGGGTTTCAGTACCCAACACTGGGTAAATGAAGAAGTGCTCAGTTTCAGTTAGATTGGTGAAAATAAAGGTTGTTTCTCCCTAAGAGTTTAGGGACCCCAAGCTCTATCTACAGACCCTTTAAGGAGTGCAGGCCCCAAAGATAAGGGCCCCTATTTAGGGTGAGATCCCACTCTCCTTTCTACTCCCACATGACACTGTTGGTACCCACATAGTTAAACTGATCGTAGTATATCCCTCATGGTAACCCTAAGAGAGCTGAGGTCCCAGAGCATAGTAAGTGTTTAACATAGTTATTAAATGGATGCAAGCTGTGAATAGGATGTTTTCTCAACTAAACTGAGTTGCCCGAAAACAATGAAAAGCAAATACTCAGATGTCATTTCTATATGCCAAGTCCTTTTCCAAGTGCTTTACACATACCAACTTAATCCTAACAACCCTACGAGAAGCTACTAACCTACTCTTCACCAACAGGCACAGAGAGGTTAAGTGACTTGTCCAAGGTCACACAGCAAGAAAGTCAGAGTCCATGTTGATTTTATAGCCTTTACTTATGGGCCCAAAGCACACTGTAGCTTAATGAAACTTTTAAACAAGCATCACAATTATGAGCTTTCATTAGCACTATTTTATGGACGCTTTATTTCTTAGACTCCATTTTGTGGAATAATTTTTGGTAGCAAGTGATTTGGTTTTATGTTTGAGAAAATACTTTCCAAAAGAGTAAAGTCGTGGCTTTATGCCAAAATGTCAGTCTTCATTGTAGAAGTCGATTTCTTTCAAAGAACACGAGTTTAGAAAATGCAAGGAAGGGCCCTTGTCCCTATAAGCAGACCTCATCTTCCCTCCTCCCGCAGCATTCCCAGGCCGGCCTGCCCCACACCCTGCAGTAGCTTCTCCGAAGGTGACCCTTCTCCATGTGTTTCTGAACATTCCGGGTTCTGAAACCTGACTCTGCCAAGCAACCAAAGCCTCAAACGCTGCAGAGTCCCAAGCTGGCCTCACCCTACCCACGACCCCAAAAGGGCAACAGCCCGGGAGGTGGGTACTTCGGAGGGTGGCACTTTAACTTTTCAAACTTTTATTCACGAGAGCACAACCCAAACGGCCAACCTCACCCACCTCGAGGTCTTACACCTCCGCCCGGCAGCCACTCGCCCCAAGCAGATGTATGAATGGACCGCGAGGCCGGGACGCAGCCAGCCCGAAGGCGGGAAAAGCCTTGGGAGAACCGGACCTGGGCCCTCGAGAGGCTCCAGGAGAGCGAGGGGAGGGCTCCGGGCGGCCGGGAGGGGGCGATGACAGGTGTGACCCAGCTCCATGCTCTCACCTTGAACATGTCGCTGGCAGCGGTGGCTCAGGCAGGGTCACCCCGGCCTCGGCCCCGCCTACTATAGAAAGTTGACTACGGAGGCCCGGTAGGGCCCTGATTCTCCCGACTGCACGCGGGCTGCAGTGTGGTTGACGGCCCTACCGCTAGTTCGATGTGGCCAAGGCTTAATTCAACTACCCTGAGCAGGAAGCAGCGTTACTCAGATGCAGCGCGTCATGCCTGGGGCGACATGCCAACGCAAGCCCCGCCCCCCCAAAAAGCCCTACCCCTGCGCTCGTGGTTGCTAGGCGGCAAGAAAGCGACGGCTTCGTGTGGGAGGCACGCGGAGGCGCGAGCAGGGTGGTGACGGGCGCCGCGCGGTGCCGGGACTCGGCCTCCGCCGCCATGATTGGGCGCCCAGCGACGTGGGCGGGGAGTTCTGTGCGCAGAGGCGGCCGGGCGGGGGCGCTCGGCGCCTCTCCGTGTACTTTTCAGGCCTCTCAGTTGGAAATCGGCTGTAGGGGCCTGGCTTTATGTCACAAAAGGGTTTTGATCTTTACCTTGGGCTGGACGTTTTTCAGGTTTTAAATTTAAACTTATTTGCCGCGACTTTATTTTAAACATATATGAGTGTAAGTTCCTCGCTGGAAATCAAGTATTTATCCCTTAATAGGAGAAATAATGATGGCCGTGATTATTAATAAGAATAGCAAACACTATTACATCACTATGGGTGCAGCTCTGATCTAAGCTCGCCCAGTGTATTCATCCCACCCAAGTAGGTGGGCTCCATTATCGTTCCCAATCCGTAGGTGAAGAAGCCGAGGCACCAAGACGTTAAGACATTTGTACAAGGCCACACAGAAAGTGGGAAGCCAGGAGCCAAACCCCAGTAGTCTGCCTTTGAAGTTTGTGTGTAGCCTAAATATTTTTAAATTTTGTTTCGTTTTGTTTTGTTTGAGACAGGGTCTTGCTATATAGTCCAGGCCGGCCTTGAATGCGTTCTGTGGCCCAGGCTGAACTCCCAGAGATCCTCCTGCCTCAGCCTCCTGATTGCCGAGATTACAGGCATGGGGTACCATGCCCAGCCTACAGTTGTTAGACTGTGTCATAATGAGGGTGTATTTCCTATTTCCTCCTGTGTTTCCACCCTAACCCCATAGAAGGGGAAACCCCTTCCCAGGGAGCATCGGGTGGATTCTGGGATGTGTGCGGTTGCCCTTCAGCCACAGACTGCTAGGAACACACCTATAATTGAAGAAGTTGGGCTCCTTTTCTTTGTTTTCTTTTACATAAATAAATTTACTTTCTTAGAAGATGGGTTTCTTATTGCTGTGAGCAAAATACATCTGGGGAAAAGTGTGCTTCAGTGAGTGTTAGATTTATCATAGGATTTGGGCTCTGGACTGGATGTTGTTAGGGAGTGGATGGAAGAACAAGGTACAGCTGTGAGTTCCAAGCCCACTCCAGATGTTAGGAGCTGCTTTTTTCCTTTTCAAAAGGATTGTTGTTCCAAGCCAACTCCACCCCCATCCCTAAGGAGAAATATTCATTAGGCTGAAGGCCCCCAATCTGTCATGTAACATCTTACATGTATAGAACTGTGAATCATAGTGATAAATTAGAAGAATTCAATAGTGGAAATTGAACACAAGACCTCCACACTGAGCTACATCCCCAGGCCTTTTTATTTTTGGAAATGGGGTCTCACTAAGTCACCAAGTTGCCCGGGCTGGGCTCAAACTTGGGAATCCTCCTGCTTCGGCCTCCCAGAGTGCTGAGATTACAGGCATGTGCCACCATACTCGATTTAGAACAGGAATTCTTAATTCAGATCATATGTGAATTTAGATGGGGGAAATAATGACAACTTTGTATTCACTAACCACTAACTGAATTTAGTCTTTATTTCAATTACAGTGTAGGCGATCAAGCGCAGAGGTGTTAGTAGGACCTCCGACTTTGTGATCAGTAGAAAGCAGACCCTGTCATACTATGTTAGTCATGGCAGATGGCTCAGAATATCCCATTATGCTCATTACAACTTCAAAAATACAGTCATTATTAGGTTTCTTATTTTGTTTAATGCATAAAAACACATATTACTATAATTTTATTTAAAAACTACTTTGAGGATGTGACTAAGAATTTGGGAGCTCCATCCAAATTGAAGTAATCCTTCAAAAAAGAAAAAGAGGTGGAACTAGGTAATTAGTACACACCCTCTTACTCTACCAATGATGGGACTGAGCCACAGAGAAGCCTCACAGCTATTTGCTAAAATTAGGATAAAAAGTTTTCAGACAAGTGTGTGAAAACTCTCACACCACAGCGGGGGCGTGATGGTGCATGCCTGTAGTCCCAGCACTTGGGAAGCTGAGGCAGGAGGATCGCCAAGAATTCAAGGCTGGCCTGGACTACACAGTGAGTTCACGGCCAGCCTGAACTACATACATAGTGAGACCCTGTCTCAAAAAAAACGCACAAAAAATAAAAACTCTCATTCTGCAAGGCACTGGCGATTCCATGGTTAACAAGGTACCTCCTGCATACAGTGAGCTTATTGGGGTGAGAACAGCAGAGTGACAAGAGGAATGATTGCTCTGAAAAGTCAACTCCAGCTATAGTATGGAGGGTGAATATGAGAAGGAAAAGACTGGAGACAGAGACCATTACAAGGCTATGGAATGATCCACTTGTCTTTCCCACATACCACGTAATTTTAGTACAAAAAGAATGTAATCTGTAAGCAACATTAAGAGATCTTTGATGGTTTCCTTTTTAAAGGATTCTAGGATTAGCACAACCATATGACATTTGAGTTTCATCTAAATGGTGAAAGCAGGGCATGGTGGTGCACACCTGTAATCCCAGCACCTGGGAGGCTGAGGCAGGAGAATCTCCACGAGTTCGAGGCCAGCCTGGACTACATAGCAAAATTCTGTCTCAAAAACAAAAGGGCCAGGGATTTAGTTCAGTGGTTCTACCGCCTGCCTCGAAAGTGCGAGGTCCCGAGTTTGATCCCCAGTATCAAAAAACGAACAAACAACCTCAGATTGTGACCTCAGTGGCTATTTATGTACTTTCAGATTACCTCATTATAAAAAAAATGAATCATTCTTCAAAGGCAAAAGGTACTGGTGCTCCAAAATCTAATAAACAACACTCAGGAAAAAGCCACACAGCACGTTTGCCACAGGTTGCAAAGGAAAAGCAGATACCAACCCAACAGTAAGTACCCATCTTTTCCTTTGTGTCATTTTCTATAACTGGAGAGTTTCCTAATTTATCCACATTTACCCAGATAAACTCAAACACTTCTTGCATAAATTAAAAGTTTTTTCTGTTTTAAAATTACTTTCAAGCCAGGCGTGGTAGCATACACCTGGAATGCCAGCACTGGGGAGGCTGAGGCAGGAGGATCATAAATTCAAGCCTAGCCTGGGCAACTAAATGACTTAACGAGACCTTGTCTTGGAGTTAAAAAAAAAAAAAAAGAAAGAAAGAAAGAAAAAAGAAATTTTTACTTTTTTTTTTTTTTTTTGGTACTGGGGATCGAACTCGGGTCCTTGAGCTTCTGCAGCAGGCAGTGAAACCACTGAGCTAAATCCCCAGCAGTGTTAGTTGCGTCATCTACGGCAGTGATGGCAAATTTCTTTTTTTGGTACCAGGGATCGAACTCTGGTCCTTATGCTTTTGAGGCAGGCGGTGGAACCACTGAGCTAAATCCCCGGCCCTAGATGCTTCTTTTTTCCAGTACTGAGGACCTTCACACCGAGCTACAGCTCCACCCCTTTTTTTCTTTTTTCTTTTGAGATGGGTCTCACTAAATTGCCCAGGCTTGGCTCAAGCTTGTGATCCTGCCTCAGCCTCCCAGAGTGCTGGGATTACAGGTGTGCACCACTATGCCAGGCTTATTCTGTGCCTCTTAATGATAAATTCACAATCTGTATGCCTCCTGATGATAAAGTTTTAGCCAGGATTTTTTTTAATCTCAAGGGAAGTGTTCTTAAGCTTTTCATAGCCTCATTCTGATTAGATTCTGCTGATGACCAGTTCTAATTACTATGTCCAAATTTTCCTCATTAAGTTTGTCTGCTTGTGGGGCATGGGAAGGTATAGGAGAAGGAAACAGAAAATTAGAGTTCACCAAGATTTTTTAAAAATGGAAACTTCAGAAATATGAACCTCTTTTTTATCCTTTTATAATTAACAGAGAGATTTTGGCTCAAAAAATACAGAGAGCGTGGCTTATTCATTTGAACAAAACAATATTTCATCTCCTAAAACACACTATTTGTGCAGCGGTAGGTATTTTTCTATTTTCTCTGGCGGGTATAATTCCTTATTAAGTAAAAAGATATGTTAATTAAACATAGAATAGATAACCCTCTTTCCCTCTTCTGTTTGGATCTAATAACATTGCACAGAGTTCTGGAATTGCTTATTTTGTTAGCCATAAATGAATATTTCTGGATTGAATTTTCTGTTTTTTTGTTTTTGTTTTTGTTTTGAGACAGGATCTCCCTATGCAGTTCAGGTTGGCCTTGAACTCACTATGTAGCTTAGGCTGGCCTCCAACTCAAAGCTATTCTCCTGCCTCAGCCTCCCAAGTGCTGGGATTCCAGACATACACCCCCAAGCCTGGCTTGAATTTATTTTTAATGTAGATTACTGTCATTTCTTTTTCTCAAATGAATATACTATTGTTTTGTTTGTTTGTTCGTTTGAGACAAGGTCTCACTATGTATATATAGTTCAGGCTATCCTTGAACTCATTATGTAGCCCAGGCTGGTCTCCAACTCAGAGCGATCCTCCTGCCTCAGCCTCCTGAGCACTGGGATCACAGGCATGCGCCACCACACCTGTTATTTGAGAGACAGTAATCTGTCAGTAGTAAATAGACATGCATTAGGGGCCGGGTGTCACTCAGGGTAGAGCCTGGGCTTAGCATGTGTGAAGTCTTGAGTTTAGTCCTCAGCACTCCCCTCAACATCGCTGAATTTAAAATACCCGCAGTTACACTTCTAAGAGCATTCTATAATAGAGGTATAATTTCACTGCAGCATTGATTGTAACAGCAAAGAAAGCGAACCATATAGTGTTCATCAATAAGATGCAGGTTAAATAAATGTTGATAGGTTTTTTTGTTTTGTTTTTTGTCTCACTACATAGTTCAGGCTGGCTTTGAACTGAACTTATGTAGCCCACACTGACCTGGAACTTGCAGCGACACTCCTGCCTCAGCCTCCTGAGTGTTGGGTTTACAGACCTGTGTGCCACCATGCCTGGCTGTGGCTGTTTTCATAGTGTTAAACTTTGCAACATTAACCTGATTATGTAACAGAAAGAGAACCAAGATACCTTATTAGTGAAAAGGGCCAGTCAGAACAGTATAAAGAATATAATCTTATTTGAATAAAAAATAAAAACAGGGCCAGAGATTTAGCTCAGATTTTAACCTCCCTCGCAAGCGCAAGGTTCCAAGTTCAATCCCTGGTACCAAAAAAAAAAGCAAAAATAGATGCACATCCTCACTCCTCCCCCAAATAACTTTTGCCATCCCAGTAGAATATTAAGGCCCCCTTGGTATAGTACCAAATATTCTCCTAATAAGATGACCCATAATTCCAGTAGTTTGTTATTAGTGATAGCCACAGGAAGGGAATTCTGCAGCCCACCCAAAATCAGAGAGTGAGCAGTGTGTCTAACTCCTCATCATCTGACCCACACAACCATTTCTGATGTAGGAAAGCAGAGCACCTCAGAGAAAACCCACCCAAGTAAACTCTTGCCATTTCAGGTCCATTGTCCACTGTCTCACATGCAGAACTTGTTTTTAATGATCATGTTACTATTTTCCTCATAATTTTAGACTCTTAGTAATAGAAAGAGGGAAATGAATTGTTTTTTCATCTATTCTAAGCTTCCATCAGTGCTTACATTAATAATAGTTTGTATTGCTAAAAGCCTTTTATTATGCATCTTCATGCGATTATCACAGTCATAAAGGTTGAGTGGTGTTGCTTAAGGGAAAGATTAGTTCTAGAGTTTTAGAGTCAGACCTAAGTGTGGATTCTCAGCATCTCTGCATGCTGTTGGCTGAGTTATAAAAATTCCCCGAGCCTCAGCCTTCTCATTTGTAAAATGGGAATGATAGTATTCTGCTGATACTGCTGGCAGGAGGACGAAATAAGGGCACCTAACATACTTAAGTGGTACACAGAAGGTGCGTATCAGCTAGTAACTTACTGTTATCACCCGCATGTCCCAGTCATTCATTCAACATCAAACACTTGTTACACATCTGTACCAGATGCTAGGAATATAGCGGTAAAGAAGAAAGACACTGTCCCTGCTTTCATGAGGCTGAGTCTGGTAGGAGGCACAGCACAGACAGGTTTAGAGGCAATTACAGTAGATTATGAGATGTGTTATCATAGAGAAAGAACAATTCCTTGTGATCTTTTTTCTTTTTCTGTTTGTTTGTTTGTTTTGAGACGAACAAACAAGAGTCTCACTGTGTATTCCAGGCTGGCGTTGAACTCACTATGTAGGCCAGGCTGGCCTCTCACTTGTGGCAGTCCTTCTGCCTCAGCCTCCCAAGTGTTGGGAGGCTGTGCCACCACACTTGGCTCCTTGCAGTCTTAGAAAGGGATACTGAAATTTGGGGACCCCAAATACTAAGTTACTGGCTCAAGGCTACACAGGTAATGGAGGAACCAAGATAGGAGCCCACCTCTCCCAAACTCCAGGCCAAGTGTACTAATGACATTATCACGTTATCAAGTGTCCTGGATCTGGGCAGCAGAGCACTCTCCATTCACAGCGCCACCCTCTGTTTCAGGAGTATTGCGTGATTCATGGAATACTGAAGAATGTGAGCCCCTTGGAAGCTGGAATTGTTAAAGACCCTAGCATGAAGTATAAAGTCAGATTCAGGTAATATGTCTGTGCTGCTTTCTTTCACGGAGTACTTCATTCATAAGGAGAGGTCTTAGAAATTAGTTTTTTAAATCTTCACAACTCCCCAGGCTGGAATTCCAAAGTAAATGTGTTGTCCTTATTTGCATTTGTTACACACAGAAACTAAGGCATGACTCTGGCTCAGATTGGCCGTGGGAGCAGCTCTCCCCAAAGTGTGGGTCCAGTCTGGTGGGGATGTGAGAACATCAGAGCACCTGGGGTTCTGGGTTTGCCCTCCTCAGTCCATTTCATTACCAGCTCTTCGTGTGCTCTGGGCAGAGTCTCAGTGTTACAACCCAGAAACTGTGCAAATTTTCTTAACTTCAAGGGGGAGAAGGAATGGAGCCTCTGAGCTGATGCTGAATGACTAATTTTTGGTCTTTATTTCAGATTTAGTGGTGAAACATTTCCACCTTTCATCGTGTTTAAAATTTTTCTTCATACTGAGGGCCGTGGTTACAAGTATTTCAGCGGGAAAAATTTATTAAAACCATCAAGTGAGGTGATGTTTCATGATGTACATTTTATGTTAATATAGCTTCTTAACATCTAAATGCTATCTGAATCGAATTCAGAGTGTGTGGACTAAGTTATGTCACCATTAAACAGCCCACTGGGCAGGTAGCATTTTTTTTAAGTATCATGTTTCAAAATGTCTCCATTTATTAGCTAAAAACATTTGGAATGAATTACTGTACATATATAAGGCTCCAGGAAATATCCATCGGTTTTCCCTGTGTTAAGATTCTGGTCTGTTAATAATGGACTAAAGCAGCATATCGGTTAGGGCAGAACGGGTGATGAATTTTATTTGTTTTAATGGAATTTTATTATTTCTTTGATTCTGGTAGCATATTTAAAAAAAAATGTGATGGACTATGCTATTGAAAATGAACTTCCAAAATATTTATCATTTCTTTGTTTTGTTTTGTTGGTACCAGGGATCGAACTCGGGACCTTGCATTTGCAAGGCAGGCGCCAGAACCACTGAGCTAAATCCCCAGCCCATTTTTCATTTCTTTACATGAGTTCTCATCATACCTTTAAATCTCGTGAATAGTGACCATAATTGCGTATACAGAGTAGGGATCATCTGGGGATCTTGTTAAAATACTGCCACTACTGGTCATGGACCATGCCTTTTTAAATTTTTATTTTTATTAGTCCATGTTTGCAGTACATAATGTTAACATTCCTCATGGGGAGCTGGTACACATACACAACACATCTAAGTTCTTTCTTCATCCCCTACCCTTCCCCTCCCTCCATCTCTTGGTTCTCTTCCCTTTTGCAAAGGATCTATCTCCCTGTTTCCTATTTTTTGTCTTTTATTTTGCTCTTTAGTTGATTTATATTTTGGGGTTCTCATGTAAGAGAAATCATGGACCACATTTTTAACAGCAAGGATCTGCAGCAGAGGTTTTACTCCTTTGACTCTTATACCTGACTATAATTGGGCTAAACGAGAGAGATTCTCACATTTAGCCTTTCATAAACCACACATCAAAGGGGTTTTGTCCTGGGCATGAGTGTGGCTCATTGGTGGAGCCCTCGATTCCAGCCCCAGCATCACACACACACACTTTGAAAATATTTTACACAGAGAGCACAGCCCACCCTCAATCATGAGTTGTAGCTCGAGTCCAGGGAGAAGACCTTGCAGCTTAGGAGCTTCTGATCAGATCCAGTAGCACAGCCCTGAGTCCCCGAAGAGTATTAGAAAAGGAGCGGAGCTGCGTTGCTCTGTTCTCAGGCAACATCAGAGCAAAATTCACTCCATTTCAGAAGTGTAGCAGATGAACTAAATGTTATCACCATGGGAGGTGATGTTTCGAAGGCATTAGTATTTGTTCACTTACACAGATTGACTTCAGATGGGAAAGGGTGTGTTTATCTTACATTTGAGGCATAAATGTCTGCATCCTTCATCTACAGAATGAGCTGATAGTTGTCCTTATCATTAGTTGTTTCTTTTCAGAGGTTATATAATGGGCTTTTTCCAGGCGCTGAAATCCTCCTGGGTCAGTTCCTGCCAGCTCCTGCTGTGCCCAGACTAGAGAGAGTAAGAAGCTCAGAGGCAGTAACTGGAAATCACTGCGTACATTAAACTCATTAGAATGCTGTATAATAACTTCATTAATTTTTTTGGTTTATTTGTGTTGAGTTTAGGCTTTCTTTTTTGTTTAAATTATATTTAAAAATTATCGAGTAACTGTTGGAAAAAAATGGAAGTAGGCCAGAGATATAAAAAAGAAAATGTCTTATGTCTTTCTTTTCTGTGTTGCAACTATCACTTTCCTGGAGTAAGCACTGGTAAGAGTTTGTTATTTATCCTTCATTTTTCCCGTGAAAATATACAGATATTTATCATATTGTTGGTTCCTATTATAGAAATGTGATCATACTATTCAGCTGGAGCTTTTCACCAAACCTTATAATGAGTTTTAAATGATAGGAGCATACCCAGCTTGAAGCGAACAGTTTGGACTTCCTTTGTCTCTTTGTCCAGCTTCAAAAAAAACTCTAATAACACTTAGATTTGTGATTTATAGAAAATTTGCAAAAGTGGAATTTTTCTCTAAGCTTACCCCACTTTGCTCTTTGAACAAAGGTATTATGTCTTTAGCAAACCAATCCAACTTTCCTTAAGTTTATTTCTTAATATGAGATAAATGAGTCATTTTTAGTCTACTTAGATGTTTAGTCCAAGTTCACTTATAAAGGAATTTCAGATTGTTTTGTTTTTGTTCCGTCTTTTCCCTCATTTCCATTTCTAGTTTCATTGCCTTCCTTGTCATTTCCAACTGCATTTCTCATGGCGGTTTTTTGTTTTGTTTTTGAGACAGGGTCTCACTATGTAACCCAGGCTGGCCTCGAACTTATGGTGATCCTCCTGCCTCAGGCTTCTGAGTGCTGGGATTCAGGCACATGTCACTATGCCTGGCTTCTTATGCATTCATGAAAATCAAAAACCAAAATAAGGAAAGGGTATGGAATAGTCTAAAGAACTTTAGAGAAGAAGAGCGAAAAGCATTTACACTGCCTGCTTTCAGTACTTACAAAGCCACAGTAATCCTGACAGCCGAATGGTGCATAAAGGTGGCCGTACAGATCAATAGGAGAGAATGGAAACTTCAGAGACAGACCCACATATAGGTGATTAGTTGATTTTCTCAGAGGCGTCAAAGCAGTTCACATGATGCCAGAACAGTCAGCTAGCCACGTGTGAAAAAGAGACCGAGTTTCAGTTGCCAACTTTGATGATGTGTTTTCTGAGCAGTGCTTATTTACAAAGGGTCAGCATCACTGCAGGTCCCCCAGCGAGCATGCACAGACCAGCCTTGCCACTTCAGGGGTGATTTGCAGTCCCACAGCACTGGCGTCCTAGGAACCGAAACCATATGGGTTTGAAAGCACGATCCTAGAAGTGCCTCCCATGCTGTGGCCTGGAACACCCCTGGGGAATCAGCTTTTTTCCCTCACATCAGACAGTGATGCACCTATACAGTAACAGTGTTTGAAGGAGGCGAATCTCACGCAATGGGGGGACCTCCATCATCACACTTCCACCTCCATGATCACCACAGAAAGGATCTAGTTGACCATTCTTAACCCTTAACATCCAGTGATTGTTACTTTCGATTGAAAATCCCTCTGCTCGCTTGAGCAGCACACATACTAAATTGAAAATCCTGTCCTTTTAAGGACCATTTATAGTGAGAAGAAAAACATTATTGTTAACAATAGCTATCCTTGTTCCTGGATCACTTTCTATCAGTTTTAATCTTACACATTATCTATGTATTATTCCATGTAATTCCCATAAACACTATTATGTGTATTCTGTTATTATCCTTATTTTGAAAAGACCAAGTAACTTGCTCAAGATCTCACAACTAGGAAGTGAGGGAACTGAGCCCAAAGCAGGGTTCTTAACCACTCCTGAGAGTCAGGAATCGTGCTGTACCCATTTTCACATGGTCCTCAGTCACTTTCGAGGAACTTACTATTCTCATTTGGCCCGTGAAGAAACTAGAACTTGGAAAGACTTGTCAGGGCCACAGCTGAGACTTGAACACTTGTCTCTGTTTCCACTGTGCTGTAAATGTTTCAAGGTTGAAACAACCCCAGCAGTTAGGGAGTTTGTATTTCATCTGAACCTGAATAGAATTTAACTGTTCCAAACCAAGAAACTGTCCCAGGGCAGGGATACCAATTATTGCTCCTTTCACGAGTAAGAATTTCCAGCAGGGATGCAAAAGTGACTTGAGAACTTAGAGTAACTTTACAAGCCTAAGTGTAGATCTTGGCCAGCAAGTAGCCACCAGGCTGTCGGGGCTCTTAGGCCACCGTGACGCTGAGTATCACGGAAAGTGTCAGATGTAGAGATGCCCCGCATTTGCCCTTTGAATCACTCACTAAGAACGGTCCGGCCTCTTGAATCCTACTCTGACTGGCTGGCATCCCCAAACCATGGTCTAGTTTTTGCCCACTCTTTTCTTCTAAAGCTGGAGTCTTCTTTTGCATTGCTTCCTATGGGGAAAATTTTCCTGAATGTCACCATACATATCAGACATCTGACAAAGAACTTCTTGGCCATTGGAAGGCCAGCCCTCTCACAAGTGGGCCGAGAGTTTGTCCTATGCTGCCAGGCCTGTTTTTCTTTAGCCAAGGAACTGGAATGAGCCAGAGACCCTTGAGCCGCACAGCTGAGGCGCTGTACAAATAAGGAAACTGGGGCTTGGAGAGACTGGTGCTGGTGGCTGAGTGGGGCAGTATAGGGAGGCGCTGACCATAAGTACCTCCTCTAGGTAATCTGAACTAAAGTAAAATACAGTTATTCCTAAAGAAATCCCTACAGCAGAAATTACATGGTTTCTGTACCTGTTCAGTATACAGTGATTTGTTTTTACTTTTAGTGTCACTATAGGAGCTAATTAGAACCCACAAGAAATTAATTGTAAGGAAGCATAATGGAGAGATATGCTGATACTATCTTTTCTTTAGATGTAAATGTGTAAAGAAATTAATGAAATGGAAGGTAAAATTATCTACCTATAGGAAGGCTCCATGTTGAATTATCAGTAAACGTTTGTTTGTTTGTTTGTTTGTTTTGAGGCAAGGTCTCACTCTGTAGTTCAGGCTGGCCTTGAACTCACTATGTAGTCCAGGCTGGCCCTGAACTCATGGCGATCCTCCTGCCTCTGCCTTCTGAGTGCTGGGATCACAGACATGCACCACCATGCCTGGCTCAGTAAACTGTTTTGACCCTAGGATTTAGAACATTAGGAATAAAACTACAACCACTTCAATATTTTCTTGTTTTCCATGTGTCTTTGAGGCTTTGGAATTTTTTTAAATGTTCTGGATAACAAAATTAACAATTGGAGTAGAAAATATACAAAAGCTAGCTACTGTAATGCCTGTTAAGTAAAAAGAACAGAGATTCTGGATTTTGATCCTCTCACATTCACTTGTTTCTGTGGCCTCCTATCAGCATTTTAACAGAGTTCCCATACTTTCACAAACAGCACATTATGAGATATGAAGGGAAAGAAAAACTGATCTGGAATCAAAAGATATTTGGATTTTCTTCTCCACCAGCCTCCCTCAATGTAAACAGACGCTTTGTGGCCAGAAACACAGATCCATAATATAAATACGTGTTAGGGGAGTCAGCACATATTTAGGGCGTGGAGAATGCCTCAGCCTCTCTTCCCAGGCTATGTACAGCTCTTAGCACAGGGACAGGTACATGTGGGAAGGTCTGGTGCCTGTCCAGCCAGACAGCATGTAAGCCTCCATATTTCCTGTGATTCTTCTCTCTCTGACCTCTCATATGCTTTCCTTGAGTATAAACTGTTGACATTTGAGAAAGAAAAATCCTTTATTTGCTTCTTTGCCTACTGAGAATGAAGTCTGAAGGGGAGAGAGGCCTAAGAAACCTGAAACATACATATTTCCATCTGGGGACAATGTATTAACTAACACATAAAAGAGTGTCAGCCCCAGTAACACCTTTCATTGCAGTTCCTAGGGCAACCTGTTTAATTGCCAGATAAGTTTCTCTGCATTGATGACGCAGATGAAGCTATAGGTTCATTCTATCTTTTAAAGCAAAAAAATGTTTTTCAAGGAGAAGAAACAGATTTTTTAAAACTGGTCCTCTGAGGATTGTGGACTCTACTACTCTAGCTGCATTTAAAAACTATATAGCTATAGCTATGGAAACAAATTATAAGTGGTTAAAAATTCCCCATATATTCTCCTCCTTATAAATATAGCCTTTCTATTGAATAGCAAACTGCTAGGGGAAAGGAACAATATTTGATGTATTTGTCAGAAAAAAATATGTAAAGAGTGTGCTGACCACTAAAAATATTATAGTACTACTATGTTTTTAAAAATCTGTTTTTTATTTTCCTTATAGGCAGTAGTTGCAAAATGATGGGAAAAAAGAAATTTTACCAGCAAATTATGGAAGATGAGTGCCTTTTCCAGAAGTTCAAAGTAACTGACCATGTAGATACTGTCACCACACAAGATTACATGCAAGTAAGGAATTTAGGGTTAGATATTGAAAGCCAAACAAACAAAAAAAGACCTTCCTGACCCTATCCTCCAAGAAGAAAGAATAATATATGTGTTTATTGTGGTAATCTACAAACAACACTTACCATTTTGACCATTTTAAAGTACACAATTCAGGGCCATTAAATACATTTGCAGCAGCAAGCACCCATCCATCAGGTTCCAGAACTTTTTTCTTACCCCAAAGGGAAACCTGGTATCCAATAAACAGCCATTCCTCAGTCCCCTGTCATTTCAGCCTCTGCCAACCAGCAGTCTGCTTTCTGTCACTATGGATTTGCTGAGGCTAGACAGTTCATATAAAGGAGTCATGACATGTGGCCTTTTGTGTCTGGGCAGCAGAGCAGTGGGTGATAGCTAAAGAATATGGGGTTTCTTACCAGGTGTGGTGGTGCACACCTGTAACCCCAGCACTTTGGAGGCTGAGGCAGGAGGATCATTGAGTTTGAGACCAATCTGGGCTACATAGTGAGTTCCAAGGCCTGCAGCCTGAACTATGTAGTGAGACCCTGTCTCAAAAAATACAAAGAATAAAAAATAAGAAAAAAGAAATATGGGGTTTCTTTATGGGGTGATGGAAATGTTTTAGAATTAGTGGTGATGGCTGCACAATGCTATAAATATACTAAAAACTATGGAAATGCCTACTTTAAAGTGATATAAATTGCAAATTTTATGTTACATGAATTTTATCTCAATTTTTAAAAATCATTACATGGCATTAAAATAGTGCATGATGAGGATTTGACCTAGTAAGGAAGGGTTCTCCTCTTGATTGGATGCTTTCTGCTACAAGTGACAGAGTATTCTCAACCACAAGAGGCTTAAACAGTAAAGACTATTTATTGTCCTGTTGAAGAAATCCACAGATAGCCAGTTCCTGGGCCAGTTCAGCATCTCAAGAACATCAGGGTTCTGGGTCAGCTTCTCTCCAGTCCTCTTGGCTTCCTTCACATAGTAACAAGATAATTATCACATCCTCAGCTCCATTCAAGAGACAGGAAGACTGAGACTTCTAGCATCTTTCTCTCTCCATCTCGAGAAAGCAAATCTTTCCCAGAAGCCCCAACAGACTTCCACTCGGATCTCATTTGTCAGAACTGGGTCACACGTTCCCCCTAAACCAATCACTGACAAAGGGAAATGGCATCCTTTTCCATGACTGAGTTAGAACAGTCATGTCCCGTGTGCTGGAGTCCTCTTCCTGAAGCACAGTGCTGTCCCATACCTGAATAGTATGGCTCTGTGAGCTAGGTAGAAGTCAGAAATGGTCATTGGGCAGGCATTCAATGACAAGTGTCAATCTAGGGGTGAGCAGGTGGCTCCAGCAGGCAAAGGCCCTGTGGCAGGAGGAGCTGCGGGTCCCGAAAGCATGTCTGGGGGCTGAAGAAGGCAGTGCACAGAGTGTATGGTGTGTGGTCAGGCTGCAGGGCTGCTAAGAGGTTATCCAGGGCTTTCCACCACAGTAATAGATTTATTTTCTTCTCTGCTCTGTGTGCAATGAGAAGCTTGTGCATTGTTTGAAATCTGTTGAGTGAAGGGATTCCTTACTAGGTGTAATCTAAAATTACAGTGATTACTTTTTTTTTTTTTTTTGGTACCGGGGATGGAACTCAGGACCTTGCGCTTTCGAGGCAGGCGCTGGAACCACTGAGCTAAATCCCCGGCCCTCAGTGATTACTTTTTTAAAAATTAAAAACTGGATCCCGAGTTCCATCCCCAGTACCAAAAAAAAATTTTTAAATGTATTACAGTAAAAGATACATTGCCATTAATCCTTCTCAAAATTCTCCCCTTCGCTTCAAACATACATAACCCATCATCCTTGCCATTTTCAGAAGCAATTCTGAAGTCTTCTTTCATGAGTGTCTTCACTTGAGTTGTTGGATTGGGGCTGCCTTAACGTCCTGAATGGATTCAAAACATTTACCTTTTGTGGTCATTTTGACTTTGGGGAAGACCCAGAAGGCGCACAGTGCCAAATCCTGTGAATAAGGTAGATAAGCACACACCATAATGTTTTTATGAGCCTCCCTTTTGGTTGGATGGCACTCAGCAGCAGCATTCACTGTATGGTATTTTTTATCACATCACATAAAGACCCCCACGAAAGAGGACTCCAGAACTGCTTTAGAAAGTAGCAATAATGATGGGATAAGTATGTTGGAAGCAAAAGGGAGTATTTGAGGGAGATTAATGACAATATGTCTTTTAAATGTAATAAAAAATTTAAATTTAAATATTCATTGTATATTTCAGTCACACCTTGTACTTCAGAGGTTCCTGATTATTTTTTGTTTTTGTTTTTGCGGGACTGTGGATCAAACTCAGGACCTTGTGCTTTCAAGGCAGGAGGCAGAACCACTGAGCTAAATCCCCAGCCTGGCTCCTAATTATTTTAGGAGATATAGGGTAGCCTTGGTTTAGAGCTGCGATTCTGGAAACACTAGATTGCGTTTACACCCAGTAGGCCTGGGCAACCAGGAAGGAAGGTAAGGTGTGGCCCCTAGGTTTCTGGTTTGTATAACTCGATGGTTAGCAGTGCAGAATCAGGGCACTTAAACTAGACATCTGAATAATAATAGCAAGGATTATTAGTCCCTTTATTCTCAGAATAGTCCAAAGAGGGGAGGTATTGCTATTACCCTCATTTTGCAAGGGTTTTTTTTATAAGTCTTAGATTTACCATTTAAGAATTTTAAAAAATTTTTGGTACATGTTTGTAGTACATAATGATTACATTCATCATGGGGAGTTTGTACACATGCATAACACATCTTCATTTTGCAAAGGTTAGAGAAACAAGTGGTCCCCAAATTCTGCCTCACACCAACATGTATGCCCTTAGCTCTTCGCTCAGTTGCTTCAATGTGAAACATGAAATTAATGTCGCACCTTAGAGACTCCAGAGTGTTTTCTTTCTTTCAGAGTGTAAAGATGAGATGAGGGAATTGGACCAGGAAACATGTAGAGCTTGGGATGTCAGTTATCTTTGCTAAGGACATGGTTCACATCCTTGCAAATCGTTAGCATGTCAAGGATTGGTGTCATAAAGAGGAGTCGCCGGGAGAGGAGTATTGGAAGAGAGAGATAAGATGGCTGTGGACATTTATTGAGCTCATGACAGCATTGTTTTTAGCTTTTTACAGGCATGTTATCTCCTTTAATCTTCCAGTTTGTAAATTATGTGACCCTTTTTACAGATGAGAAAAATGTGGTTTGACAAGGTTCAAAAAACCTTGCCCAAGGTCACACAGTAAATAAATGACAGAACAGGCCCTTGACAGGCCTGTGGTATTTACTCATTTTACTACCTCACTCTTGGGAAATAAAATATACAGGCAGTTTCACTGTGAACAGTAGTGTAGAACCATAAAAATGATCATGCGAGCTGAAATCACACAAAGCAAACTTAATAATCCATGGGGCAATTTGCAATTGTCCTGTGACCTTTAAAATTTAAAACTCTGTCATAAATATACACCATAGGAAAATGAGAGGAAAAAAGCAACACTTCTAGTATGCTCTAATTTAAAATATCAGATATATTCAAATGAAAGTTTTATTTCTTTGTGAAAATATCAACCGTGAGTACAAAAACCATTGAATTGTATACTTTGCATGGGTGAATTATATTGTAAGTAAGTCTCAGAGCTGTGGAAAATGGACTGGGGACATAGCTCAGTGGTAGAGCACTTACACAGCATATTTGAGGCCCTGGGTTAAGTCCTAAAAACCAGCTTACCAGGAATAATTTGAACAACACTTGCCTTCTTGTTCTTGTTGTATAAACTGCAGTAGAGAGCAGTCATCTCTTCTATGCCTTGATGAACTGTCACACTCCTGAGTTTGGATCAGCTGGCAATGTTTTATTCTGTGCACTTTAACTGGTGTGACGTATGTCAGCATCCCTCTAATGTGAAGCTTTTTTGGGCCAGCATCATAACTTCCTATGGGACAGCCTCATTCTTTTTGTCACGGACACTCCCCTTGCTTGTGTTGCTAAGTTCACCTTCGCCAAGTTCCTCTGTCTGCGCGTCTACAGTCTCTTAGTGTCAGCAGTATCGGCTTCCCCGTGGTCACTTGTTTCTTCTAGGATTCCATCTACTTGTGATTCCAGTTTCACTCCCACTTTTTCTCTTCTGGCCAGTGCTCTTTCAGTTATCCACCTCTGGAAAATGTCACATAGATTTATCACAAAGAGGCAACACAACTACATACTTTGCCGTCTGGATGTAAGCTGAAGAACAGATTTGAAGTAACCAACCACTGGTGAAGGTTTTGAAAGGAGTGACATGATTTGTCACTAATTATGTACATTTGTCATCTATGTGGTGATGTAAGAACTGAAGAACTAGCAGCAGAGTTTGCACTTTATGCAGTTGCCCCCAGCTGTACTGGAGTGGCTTCAACTGGCCACTGGGGACTGGTATTATTCAAGGAAAAGTGGTGATTGAAATGTGTGCATGCCAAAATGGTGTGCATGTGAGAGTGTGTGCATGTGATGAGTGTGTGTGTGTGTGTGTGTGTGTGATATACCCTAAAGGCCTCCCTGTTTCTTAGCATTGTAGACCTCCATTTCCTAGTATGGTAGCATCTCCTGCCCTATCTCTATCACTTAAATGCACATTTATAATGTTAAATTGATTATATATTTGCATTTTTAAATCCCTAATTTGATATAATTTTAAATTGGAAAAAAATGAGCCAGGCATGGTGGCACACACCTGTGATCCCAGGACTCAGGAGGCTGAGACAGGAGGATTGCCATGAGTTCGAGGCCAGCCTGGACTACATAGTGAGTTCGAGGCCAGCCTGGGCTACATAGTGAGACCTTGTCTCAAAAATCCAAAACCAAATTGGAAAAAAATGTAGAGTGGGATATCTACAAATACTCCAAATGAAAATAGTAAAATTCTCCACTATGCACCAAAAATGAACTCATTACTTCAAAAAGGATTTTGTGCAGATGTCTTCTTAACCCAAGCATGTCACAAATGAGCACTACCAGATATGCAGAACACAGAGCTACTGTGAATTTGAGGCCCTTCCTGAGTTTAATTTGTCTTGAGTTATATATGCCATAAAAATGTTTATGCAGCTGGGTGTGGTGGCACATGCCTGTAGTCCTAGCACTTGGGAGGCTGAGGCAGGAGGATCATCGTGAGTTTGAGGCCAGCCTGGGCTACATAGTGAGTTTGAGGCCCTCCTGAACTACATAGTGAGACATTGTCTCAAAAAAACAAAAAAAATAAGTAAATAAAAATAAAACGTTTATGCATTAAAGAAACATTTAGTGAGTGTGGCACCGTGTGCTGATGCCTTGTGACATGGCTCCTGGCATCCAGTAAGGGGCTAAGACTCCTGCAGGTGGCTCAGACACCTTTGGTTGGCAATAACAGTCATGGAGCCCAAGGAGTGTCTTTTGGATGGGGAACTGTGTGAGATGTGTCTAAAACCATTAGAGATTGTCCACAACCAATCACTCCAAATCATTTCTCTATATAGTATTCCAGTCTTCTGGATAAGATCCCCGCATCTTCTGGTGGCAAGAATAACCTCTGGCTAAAATTAAACCTCAAAAACATTCCCAGGACAATGATGATGTATGACATCATTAATTATGCAGAATCTCGAGTAATGTCTGCCCGTTTACAAAAAGAAATGAAGTATCTGTTACAGACACCACGAACGGAAGAGATTCAGCACCAGCTACAGATTGTTTCTGAAGTTAGGTAAAACAGATCCTTCCTCAAGGTTCCAGTGCTATAGATATTTCTGAAAATGTTCACATTCTGCCAAAGAGCTCACTAAAGATAATAAGGGGGCGTATGGGGAAAATCAAGTTGGGGGCAGGTGGCCCAAAACTACGCAACTTTGTAAACAGAACACTAACAAAGAGGACAATCGGTACCTGGGGAGATAACTTGTCCCACTAACTGGGCAGCTCAGGGTGGCTGGAGGTTGCTACAGCAAATGGAAACGTTGTACAGCAATAGAGGGGAAATGCCTCTTTAATAGAGCAGGTAGTGGGCGCAGGATGGTGCAGACAGAGGGGGTATGCAACTAGCCGAGAACCAAGAGCCATCCAAGGCCGGGAGGTTCGGGAGCTCAGGGAGGGCAAGGTGGGGTGCAGGGCCTCTGTGGGGAGAGCCCGGGGTAGAGGTGCCAATGTTTGTTTTCACAAATACAGCTGGAGGAGCTCCCATTGTCCATGCAGCACAGTGCACTGAAGGTTATAATTCGATCCTCGCTATTCTGGTTTCCTTCGCCTAGCATAAATTGCACATAAATTACAGTGACGTTATTCCCTTCTTTACCAATAGCATGTGAACCAATTCACATTTTAGAAACTCGTGTTGTAGGAAAATAGATGTATTATGATCTGAAACAACATGGACAAAATGTGGCTGCCTCAATTACATTTCTTTTCTCTTTCCATTATTAAGACTCACTTAGCCCATCTTATTTACAAAATTCAGCTGGCTTTCTTAAGAAAAAGAAAGAGACAGTAAGATTGAAGAAGACTTATTGGCAATCTATTTTCACATACTCATATTTGGATGAAAAATACGCCTTTAGTACACAAAGACACTGATGACCCTTGTTCAGCAAACGTGCTAAGGTTTCTTCAGGAGTGGAGATGAGTGGAGCTGACCCCATAACATAATTTTGCCCATTTATTTTATGATCAAGGCTATATACATTTGCCAGACAGATGGCCTGGTTTAGAACACAGTCTGTCATCATGAAATAGACTTTCTCCAACTCATCCATATGAGCACTGAATAGAGAACTTAACCCTATTACCACCAAGGTCAAATAAATGATGTCATTTTCTTTGCCACCATATAGAACCCTAGGCTCTCTACTATTTGGATTCTTGCTAAGGATTATCCAAGAATGAATCACTTAAGAGCCAAATAAGGAGCCAAATTCTAAATCAATTGGAGAAAAAAATACATGTATAAAGGGCTCTTGGAATACAGTCTTAGTTTGGGATCTCCCAGACGGAGGCAAATCCTGAGACAAGGATTTTAGTTTGCATAGTTTATTTGGGAGGTGATCCCAGGAACCACTGATGGAGGGGGTTGAAAGCAAAACAAAAGGGAAGGCAGCCAAACTGTGTTCACAAGCAAGTTGCCCCTATAACTGGAGCTTTATCCTGCCTGTGAATGTCAGAGCCGAGTTATCCCACAGGCCAAGGGAGCCAGCCAGCACATTGCTAGACCAACACCCATCAGCCACTGGTTAAGGGTTGCTTAGGAGGGGAGGTTTAATTCTCAGGCACTTCCAGCCTGCTCTTCTCATGGACTCTTGTTTTCAAAGACACCTGTCAGGGCGATCGATGCAGATGCTGGCAGGTGGAAGTCGAGCTGATGTGCCTTGCGGGCATGGCACCAACTGTGTCTGATCCCAACACTGATTAAAAAAAAAATGCTTCTGGGGCCAGGGATTTAGCTCAGTGGTAGAATGCTTGCCTAGCGTGTGCAACCCCCTGGGTTCAATCCCAAGTATCACACACACACACACACACACACGCACACACACATATGCACACACAAGTTTTCTTTTGAACTATTATGGAATATAACACTTTCTGGTGTTAGCATATGGTATTTTATTTATTTATTTATTTATTCATTTAGGTACCAGGGATCGAACTTGGGACCTTGCGCTTGCAAGGCAGGCGGCAGCACCACTGAGCTAAATTCCTAGCCCAGCACATGGTATTTTAAAAACCCAGATGTCTACTACATAGTATTTTCCAGAAAAAGTGATTTTAAATCGATACAGATTTTATCATTTTCATCATCACTGTTATCACCATTGTGTCCTACACACCTCCATAAGTACCAGACCAAGAGCAGTGACCTCGAACCTAAAAGCTTGCACACAGCACTGTTTCACAGGCTGAGGTCTGGGATATATTTGCTAAAGTTTTAACACAACTTGGAACTTGCCTTACATTTAAATTTTATTTCGGGTGCTTTTTCTGTGTGTAACACAAACATCTTCTAGGTTTCCATCCTTAGTGAGCCTCCAACCTTTGTATGGGCCCTACCAACAGCAAAGTAAAATGAGACATTTGGGGCATCTATCCAAGCAAGCACAAATGAAAGTTGAAAAAATGAGACAAGCTCATATGACACCTAAGAAAAAAGATGCTTCTGAGGTAAATGTAAGTTTAACTCGTACTGAATTCATTGTTTTGGGCAATATTCAAATAGCCTGTAAGACATTCTACTTGCATGAGTAAGATTTTCCTAATCTGCAAATTCAAGGCTGAAACACCCTTGGCGTATTATACCTTGGATAGTATAAAGCCACTTTCATCTTGGTAACAATATTTTTTAAATTCTTAAACAATATTAGTAGCTATTCTGGTAAATACCAGCTGTTTTTACTCCACATCAGTATGAATTGAAAATAAACCTATCATCTCCATATGTTGACACTGTAAACTTCAGCACATCTCTGATGGTGCTTTTCTCAGAATAAACTCATCTCTACCTAAACTTTGTTGTTGTTTTTGAGAGACTGGGTCTTACTATGTTGCCCAGACTGGCCTCAAACTCCCAGGCTCAAGTGATTCTCCTGTCTCAGCCTTCCAAGTAGCTGGGACGACAGACACAGTGCTATCTAAACTTAGGAAAAGCTATATTATGTACAGTACATTTTCACATTCTAGGGATATTTAGAACAAACATATGTTGGTGTATTATTTTGTAATGGTAAAAAAATCTGCTGTAAAATTTTGGCAGATGAGGGCAAGTATATAGAGCCAGATATAAAAAATATAAAGTAGTAAAAGCCAAATATAAGACACTTGCCACTTTTATTTATAATTCTAGCAACCGCAAACAGCCACACAGCCTAAAAGGGTACAAGAGACGATTGTCTTCTCCAGCCCATCTTTTGACATTGTGAAATTTAAAGAATGCACCTCAGGTAGTGAATTGGGAGAAGATGAAGACGAAAAGGAAGTATTTGCCTGGTATCAACAGTTGTATCTTCAGTATTTTCCATGATGTCAATACACAGCTAATTGACAGGTTGCTTGTCTGTCTATAAATAAAGGTCAATCAAATAAAAACAAGTCCTTGGTCTGCTGTCTTAACCAAATGCACGGCGTATTTGTAAGCCATTTTGTATTACCATAGGTGCAGATATGTTTTACTGACAGGATTTGAGTCTGAATAAATTACTTCTGATAGATGCCTTTGAATTAGCATACATTTTTGTTCAAGAAATGATGAGTAAATTAGTTCCTGGGATTTTATTCAATTTTTTTTTTCATTTAAAAATCTGAACAGGCCATGCTTAGCATAAGCTTAGCATAAATGCTGAAATTCACAGGCTAGAAGGCTGCTTTTAAGTCAGCCTCCATTGTCTTTTTCTGGGTGTGTATTGTTTTTACAGAACAGCTTGTGAATGACCTATCCGAGTTATAATAAAAGTAATAATGGATTGTTGCTACCAGAGGCATGACATGGCATACCTAATCGTTATTGAGCATTGCCAGCACCTGAGGCAGAATACTGCATCTGCTTTAATGTTGTACTGTGGATATTTTTCAAGCATAAAGACTTTTTGAGTAATATTTATCAATTTCATTTTGAATTGATAGATTCACATTCCTGATACAGTACAAATTATGAATTTCTTCTGTGATCCAGGCTACTGGATTATACCAAACCTTTCCAGAGCCTGTGATAAATAAAGCACAGTTATATAATGGACTTTAAAAATACACTTTTAAAAAATAAATAAATAAAAATATACTTTTTTCTTTGTTTAATATTTACAATGCACAGATAGTCAAACTCAAGCACAGTAACCTATAAAAGCATCTTATCCTGTGCTAAAATATTCTCTTAAATGATAAAGAATATTGGAGTGAATTTTAATATTGAATATTAAATATTTTTAATATTGAATATTGGAGTGATTTCCACTAGAACGTATTTCACATAAACATGCACTCATTAATATTAATATACCCTCATTTGATATCCAAAAACAGAAAGATAATTTTCTTGTTTTCAGAGCTCATAGTGGGCACTGGTTGAATAGAAAAATGCCAGTTTATGAGTCACATATATTCTCATTCATTAACTTGGGAAGCAACCCTTTATCCAGTGAGATGCATATCAGATTCAGTCCCCCATAGCTCTTGTAACAGCAAAACTAAAGAGCATTTCAGGGAGCAAGGTGAGGAAAGGCACACTCTACTTCAGGGTACCTACTTCTCTTGTTTCAGTAGCCATAACTTCCATCTCACCCTAACGCACTAGACAGTATAACCATACCATAGGCAATCCTTTTAAAAGGAGAATGACACATAATCCACCAACATAGCAGTTGTTTTCATTGCTTATACCATTCTAATCTGTCTAAATATCCATATGTTTTTCACATGGTTGTAATCACAGGTAACATGTAGATTTAAATTTTTCACTTAATATTATGTCTTAAACTGAGTCCATTTAGAAATACTTTTAATGGTCACATGATAGCCCATTGGGTGGAAAAGCATAATTTACCTGGGTTTTTCAGTTTCTGGTTTTTCATTACTGTAGATAATTAACACTACAATAGGCCTCTTCACACGCACTCTTTCTTTTGGCTATCTTTTCTGTTATTTATTATCTTTTTTTCTGTTAAGTTGCAGTGTAATCTGAGAACATGATTTGTATGATGCTGATTCTGGAAAAGCTGAGACTTTATAAAGAACATGGTCAATTTTCAAAATATTTCTTTCACTCTTCAGAAAAATGCACATTCTCTAGAGTTGGATACAAAGTTCTCTCTATGTCCTTCTGATCAAGCTTGTTTACTGTATTCTTTACGTTCCCTCCATACTACTCATTTTTGGTCAATGACATCGGTTACTGAGAACAGTCTACGTTACACGTGTCCTACCCTGGTGGTGGACTTCTCAGTTTCTCCTCATTCTCTGCTACAGTTTGGATTGAAAGTGCCCCCCAAAGGCTTGCTAATTCCATTTCCTCTTCCTGGGAACACAGGACTGCATCTCCCAGCTTATTTTGCAGTTCTCTTGGTTGGGGACCATGTTAGCTGAGTTCTGGCCAAAGGAGTGTGGGCAAAAGTGATGGATACACTTCTAGGCTTGGCCATAAAATGTACCTGAGTACATCGGGTCCCCTACTTTCTGTCACATGGCTGAAGGCAGAGGATTCCAAGGTGTCAGCAGGAGGATTGCAGGGCTCCTTTGCTGCTGACCACTGACCAAGGAGAGACAGATAGCCAGAGAGCAGTAACAGATGGGCTGACAGGCTGAGGAGAGCAAGAAACCAACTTCAGGCTGGGTTGGAGCTCAGTGGTGAGCGCTTGCCCAGCCCGCACAGGGAGGCCCTGGGCGCAGGGTCCCCAGCACCAGACAAGGAAGGAAAGAAAAGCTTCATTGCTTGAAGTCCCAGCAATCTTCAGGGATAAATGTTATAACAGCTAACATCAATTATTCTGATCTTTCACCTCTTTGTGTTGTAGGTTTTGCCTAAGAAACAGCAAATATCTGGATTGTTTCGTTTTAATCAAGTTTGAGTATACCTCTCTTTGAACTGATGAATTTAGTCCATTTACTCTTTATTGTGATTTGAAGTGCTGATATATTTGGAATTATTTCTACTATTTTATTTGGTGCCATGCCTCCTGCATTTTGTTTTCTCTTCCTTTCCTGTTTTCTTTCAGATTGTTCTTTTGATCCCACTTTTTGTCCTTACTGTTTCGTAAGTTGTATACTCTATTTCTATCCTTAGTGATTACTTTTAAATTTTAGCACGTGAATTTAAGGTCTAACCCTCCCGAATTTGGAATGCTAATCACCTTCCTCTTGTGTTACAAGTTATGGTACAGCTGGTATTTTAGCATTATCTTGTTTTGGTTTAGGTGGGATTTTGTTTTTGAGACAGGGTCTTGCTGTGTAGTTCAGGCTGGCCTTGAACTCACTGTGTAGCCCAGGCTAGTCTTGGACTCCCAGTGATCCTCCTGCCTCAGCCTCCCAAGTGCTGGGATTACAGGTGTGCACCACCACACCTGGCTTATTATCTTGTTTTTAACTTCCAAATTAGACATGATTATTGTTTTGAAAACCTCAGACTTTTCTTCTGGGATCATTTTTTCTTTATCCTGATGTGTATATTTTAGAAGCTCCTTTACTGAGCATCTGTTGCTGATAACTCTCGGTTTTTGGTTTTCTGAAAGTGTCCTCATTTCTTCCTTTTTCTTAAATACATAATTTAGGTAGGTATCAAATTCTACATTGACAGTGGTTTTCTTTCAGCAATCTGAAGCTATTGTTCCACTGTCTTTTGGCTGCTGCATCTAATTGCTATTGCTTTTAGATGATCTCTTTTCTCCATGACAACCTTTAAGACTTTTTCTTTGTATTTCATGTTCTAAATAACATTGGCTCTCCCACATTTTCTAGTTTCTAGATCTTTCTCTCTCTCTCTCTCTCTCTCTCTCTCTCTCTCTCTCTCTCTCTCCCCCTCTCTCTCTCCCTCTCTCTCTCTGCTGAGGATTGAACTCTGGGCCTGTACACTAGCCAAGTGCTCTGCCACTGGGCTATATACCTCCACCCCTCATTTCTTTTGCCCTTGCTATCCTTTTTTTGTTTGTTTTTATTTTTTGTTTTTGATATAGGGTCTCACTGTGTAGTTCAGGCTAGCCTTGAACTCACTGTGTAGCCCAAGCTGGGTGATCCTCCTGCCTCAGCCTCCTGGGTGCTAGGATTACAGGCATAGACCACTAGGCCCAATGACCTTACTATCCTGTGAGAGTCTGAGTTTATGCAGAGCTCTCCATTCTTCTTTTTTTTTATTAAATTCTTTTATTGGTACATTGTAGGTATACAACACAATTACATTTCTCACTGGGAATTGTACCTTTACATAATCCATCTTGGTTCTTTTTTTTCCCCCATTCCTAGCCCTCCCTTCACCCCATTCTTACTCGTGCTTTCCATAAGCTCAAGATCTTGCTTTCCACACATGAGGTCATTAATACCTGGAACTTCAGGTCCCTGGCATTGACAAATGTGCTCCGGGCTCATTTCTAGCTCCCTCTTACTTTTCACTCCTAAGGATTTTCCTCCTAACAGGCTCAACCATGTCTTGTAAGAGATATTTTTTTCATTTTCTCTAGGAGTTCTCTAGTTTTTGAAGTGGGACAGTTTCTTCAGAATGTTCGGCCTTCTGTTTCCTCCCAAGCAACACTCCACATTTCACTTTATCCTATTGAATTACATCCCTGGGATAAAATCTTGAGAGTGGCACTACTTACACCAGATTTTCAACACCTCATGTCACTGTTCATATACATTATCATATTGCTTTCCAGCTGTTCTCTCTGCATGGTGGGTGCTAGACTGATGTTTGTTTATCCACTTTGCGGAGGCAGAGTGCCATAATAACAGAGGTCAGGCTTTTAATCAGCCAAATCAGGCTCTCTCTCCCCCTGCTTCTATCCCTCTCTCCATCTCCCCACTTTCCATATACAGAGAGGTAAGAGAAATTCGCCTCCTAAAGGTTTTGTTGTACTTTCAGATATGAGGGAATTAAGAAGGAGGTGGCAGCTGAGAGGAAGAGGAGGGGAGCTGCTCTCTAATGGTGGCTTGAACCAGCCATGGTAGTGCATACCTGGAATCTCACCTACTTGAAAGGCTGAAGTAGGAGGTTCAGAAGTTCAAGGCCAGCCTAGGCAACTTGGCAAGACCCTGTGTGATGGCTTGTGTCTAGATGGCCCCCCAAAGCCTCATGCGGTCATAGGTGGGGCTTTTTCAGAGGTAGCTGGATCTGGAGTGTGTGATGCTGGAATTGACTCATGGTGCAATGCTGAGCTTAAGGGCACTAGGGTTAACGGTGTGAGTGCTGCCCTCCCTAAGTAGCCTGGATAAGGTATAAGGGGTAAAAAGGGCTATGGTCCCTCTTGGTTCTTCTTGGTTGCTGTACCGTCTTCTGCCCACCATGGACTGTTTCTCCTCTGCCATGCCCCTATGCCTTGGAGCCAGCCAGCTATGGACTGAAACCTCCACAGACTGTGAGCTAAATA